GGAGGCTCGCAGGCCGCACAGCACATCATCGTGGAAGCGTGTCGTCGTTGTGGAGCGAAGGAAAGAACACGCGTAGACACGTCCAGAGGCACGGCCGGCGACAGTGCGTACGGATACAGCCGTTTGCTGAGAGGACACCCGGCGAGGACGTCGCGGCCCTCTCTCCTTCCGCCTGCCGAGGTGTCTGACGCAAGCCCACAGTCGACGAGAAATTGGCAAATATCTGCAACGGTCCCAGCCCGCATGGTTTTGCCGCTCGTGCGCGGGTCCAATCCCGGGCTACCGACAAGCCTCAACCGCTGCTGGAAGTCAGCGGTAAGCGCCGGGGGCGGATAAGGATGAAGAACACGAGCGACGCACCTCATTTGACCAACCAAGCCGGGGCGCCCTCCGGAACTTCAAGGCTCGACAAGGGAAATATGAAGGCACAGCGGACGAGAAAGAGTGCTGTCCTTGCCTTGCGCATGAATGTTCCCCGGGCCGTTGGTAAGAGGGTTACACGTAGTGGTCGAAGCCCGGCCCAGTGTCGGGCAGCCCCTTACACGAATGGCCAGACGACCCGCAATCGACGTGGTGCGCACGACTAAGCGACTTCCCCTCCGCGTATGGCGCGTCCCCTGGCATCGACTCGGGATAGCGCTGACCATGGGGGCCAATATATTAACGGCGGAGCAAACGTACTGCAGCGGGGAATTAGTGGGGAGTCGACGAGATGGCGGACGATGCGCACCGCAAGCTACGCAAGATCCCTCCTCGCACCCAGCCCTCCTTCTCCTCGCGCCCTTGCTCTAGCATAGCATTCATCCTTGATTCATCCCCACGCGCAGCAAGTGCGGCCTCGGCACCCTATAAAGGCGTGAACGTCGTCCGTAACGTCGTCATGAGGCATACGCAGCTGGCGGGCGCGCATATCCCGGGCGGGCGCGCGTCTGCAGCGCGGACATGGTGGGAGAAGACAAGCCGTGAATGCTGACGTGGCACCGGCGATCGGGACCGGAGCCGCGACCGGCGGCCGTGACATCGATCTGTGCATCTTTCCTTCGCTCCACGACGACGACGCAGGGCGCTACGAAATGCTATGCCGCCGGGCGCGAACGACGTCAAGGTCAGCGAACATAGGGACGAGGGCGACAACTCGAGGGAGCGGGCTCGTGCGTTTCTACGGCAGACACCGCTCGGCTCCTTCTCACAGCTCCGAGCAGGCGGAAGGGCTGACAATATCTCGATGGTTGAATGCCTCCACGCAGTCCATCTCTCCCTTCAGCTCTTCTCCCCTACAACTTGACGCCGTCGTCGCAAATACTCAACAAACGCTTCTTTCTATCCGATTCTATCGCCTAGTGATGGCCAAGTCCGGTTCGGTCCGGTTCTTGGCCCTTTTCGGCCGAACGCCGGACCGCCGGTTCGGTTCAAAACGGGATTTTGCCGAACGTGAACGCCGAACGTCGGTTCGAACCGGCCCCGAACCGGCGTTTTTGGACCGAAAACGGCTGAACCTGGCCGAACCGAGGGCCAGGTTCGGTTCGGAAACGGCCTTGGCCGAACCTGAACGCCGAACGCGCGTTCAGTCCGGTCCGGTTCGGGTTCGAACCGAAATCCCGAACCGGACCTGGCCATCACTACTATCGCCGCCACATTCGCCACCCCTTTCAGATGCCTCCACGCCCCTTCCTCCGTCTCAGAATTCGTCATCCGCGTGGACTCGCGGTCGGTTTATGCCAAACAGCGGCCAGCTTTACAGACCGAGGAGCCGACAAAGGTGCGTGGCACGTTCAAAACCTTTGCCTTGTGCCAGTGTCGTGTCTAAACCTTACTAGTACGGGTACTCAACCTGGGGTTACGATGCATCGTCCTCACTTGGGACTGACAAGCCACTATGCATCAAGACCACTGCTTAGAGAAGCCAGTGATTCATCAATTTGCTCTCTCGCCTAGCTTATGCCCAGCCGAGGTGCGTGATCACATCATGATCAGCCTCTCACCATGACACACCACGGCAGACAAACCCCGCGAAGCTCGCGATCGCCGACCGCAGCGCGCCTGCTCCGCTCGAGGAGCAGCGCCGCCGTGGCCCTCTGCGCAGACGTGCACACCCACACCGCCGCATCAGCTCCCCGCACCGCCGCATCAGCTCCTCCGCCATGTACCCTTGCAGACTTGGCGCAGAGTTTGCGCAAAGTCCCACACCAGCCTGCAGGGGCTTCTGCTGGCTCTACCGCGATCTCGGCGGGGTGGGCGCCGCCGACAGCGCTTCAACGGTGCTCCCAAAGGTAGTGTCGAATCCGCCCCCAAAATCAAGCGGGCCCCGGGCCGGCCGCGTGCTCGGCAGCTCCGGTGCACGCGCCCTTGCTCTCTGCATCCGTGTGGTCCGCGGTGTGGGTATGGGTGGGGCCGGGACGTTCCTGGGCGGTGGCAGAGGACTCATGGGCCGGTCCGGCGGGGCAGGGCCGACTCGCCAATCTCCTCAAAATCTCCTCCGGCTCTGCGTCAACCTCGGCCGACGGCCCCCATGGGCACTGCAGCGACGGCGGGGACCGCGACGCGTGGCGGCTGGCACTCGTCCTTATCGAAGACGTCCGCGACGCGCTGCCAGGCGCTGGCATCTGCATGCTTGCGCGACTATTGGGAGGCAGCCCGCTTGGGATAGGTGGTGGTGATGGCGTTTGCCCCAGAAATTTGTGTGGGGGTGGGGTGTCCATGGCCCGTCGCTTCCGCCCGGTTTTACGCGAAACGGCCCTGAACTCGGTGCAGGATGCACCTCGCAGCCGGCCTGGGATTCTCCAGCATTAGCTTGGCTCTATGAGCCTATTCTTGTTCCAGAATATGTACACCTTGTTCATAGAACCCATATATATCACTAACATAAGATTTCTATTCATTTCATTTACAATGCTTTCAACTTTAACCTGAAGACTTTCATAATACTACATGTTGTACTGCGCACATAACATATATTACACTAACATAACTTGCCTGTTCCCAAACTTCTAATTCAATGAAATCTGAAGTATTTTACATGTGTGATACCATTTTCAAACTTGCCTGAAGCTATTTCATCCCATCCTCAAAGTTTCTATACCTAAAAATTAGATTTGCACATGCTATACCCACATTTAGGGGGAGTCTGATTTGTCAAACCCAACCATCAACCAATATAATTACCTAGGATGGTTCATATTGGCTATGAAAGACCACCTATGTTTTTATTTTGTCTCATTTCATCATGTGGGCTGCCCAATATGTATATTTTCCCAGTTCACCTCCCAGATCAAATGCTCAATAATATTTGTCAGGACGCTCTAAAGCCCACCGGATGGGCCTATACAGCATGTACAGATGATAGATAACAGGTGGACAGTGGCTGAAGGCCAGGGATAAGGCCAGGTGGAGTCCCTGTAAGTGGGTAAGCAGGCCGGAGTGGCCCCGGAATCCCTGGATCAGCCTGTGTGAAGCTAAAAATGGCATAGGCCTACATGATCCTCATTCTAACAGGCAGATAGCCTCGCGCTACTAGATGCCGATGGCCCGCACGAGAGCAGCAGCGAGGAGAGCATATTCCGAGTATACCCGCTGATCCCGCCAAGCGTCGGGCAGTGCGGACCGGAATGGAGCGGGCCCGGGGTGAGGTCAGCATGCTGATGCGGACGCGGGCGCGGCACATGGATATATTGATTGATTCATGCAGGTCCGCTAGAGAGCTGACTGATGCATCAAGCCGCTTCCAAGGTCAGTGTTCTTGATGCATAGTGGCATGTCACTCACCACTGTCTACTGATTCATCATATCCCCAGGTACGCCTGGGTCAAACGGTCTACTGATAGTTGAGCGGACGAGTAGCGGCCTTGCGCTTGAGTCGTGGCAGTCACGGTCGGCTGTGCCCATATACACCCGGGGGCAAGCACACGCACCCGATACCACCGAATGTGCCCAGTCCCGTTGTCCCCAGCCTGAGCGTGTGTGTGGCCCGCGCCGCGGCGGCCGCGTGGAGCTGCCCGAGACGTGTATCAGACATGTCAGCGCGAGGAAGGGGTTGTCGAAAGCGCAGAACCAGCTGCCACGCATGAGTACAGACTCACGCGCGTGAAAGCGCAGCACGCACCTTAACTTCCGTTTAATCTGGCCAGTGCGGAGAGCTCGTGAGTCGACCGGAGGAGTGCGTGCGTCGTACTGTGACAACGCTCGCTCCTAGTGCGTCCACACGGCGCTGGCCCGGGGAGGCAGGCGGACGGGCAGCTGGGTGTTGCCAGATGGAAGTCGGGAGGAAGGGCCGATTGACGTGGCACGTGAAACACGGCACAACGAGCATCCCCTCCTGTGTCCGGACAACGTACGCTGCGTCCCCCGCCTCCATCTGCAATGCGGCTTTCGCACAAGCCCTCCCACTTCCCGAGGCCAGCCGTTTGCGCCCATCGACAGCACGACGCCGAGCGTAACTCCCCCTCGCCGTGCTCCCACGCCCCCGCCTGTGATGCCTGAGGTTCTGCGTATGACGCGGCCTTGACGCCGCGTCACGCCGCAGTCCCGTCTCGGACGGCGCACCAGTCCGTGCCCGGACGTCCGCGCAAGTGTGCTGGCTTCCGGCCGCGGGCACCCTGGGCCCGCACCCTCCCTCTTCTCGCCGTCGCTCAGCGCGGTCCATCGGGCTGGTCCTTGACGCTGGCAAGCCTTGATGCGGAGAGCTTGAACGCGAACGTCGGCAGTGCAGACAAGCATCAGGGAAAACCTCCTTGAATAATTAGGGATAAAGTGTAGTAATTTACCCGAAATTACCACTAGATACCGGCTTACCTCAATTACCCATGCTTACCATCCCCCCCCTTATAATTTAGGGAATTTTACCCCAGTTTACCTCATATTATCCAACATTATTCAGTTGCCATTGCCAATACCATAAATGGGAAACCATTATCAGACTTGAATACAGAAAAGAATAGATTCAAAAACATAACTATTACATGAATACTAAGGATAACTACTCCGAAACGACCAGATTGCCACCTTTACTCTTCTCGCGTTTTCTGCCCTTCTTGATACCCTGAGTTTGCCATCAGCAATGGAGACAGAGAGCAAGATGGAAGACAACAAACCTATGGCAGCAGCGGCGATGCCGTCCCGGGCCCTCAGCGCCAGCGTTAGCCCCAGCGGCCTCAACGCCAGTAGCTGCACCAGCAGCGACGGCGCCTTTGCGGCGCCGTCAGTGGCACCCTTGTTACTGCGGGCGACGACCTGTGCACGCTCCCCATCAGCAATGAGCAAAAACGGAAGGGGGAGACGTACGGCGGCGCTTTGCCCTTCCTGGCAGCGGCCTTGGCACCCTGGCGCGGGTACGATAGGCGTCGAGCGTGGCGCATTTGGGGCCGCGTTTAATGGGCTGGTTGTTCGCTAGACGACTGGGGTCAGTCCTAGCCCCGCGCGCTCGTGAAATCGTCGCTTACACCATCTAAAACGACCCAAAAGACTCGGTTTGCTGACCGAACTTTGCAGCTTTCTGGCTGGAATTCGGCCCGGCGCGCGATGGGGTCGAGAACGGCGCGGTTGGGGTCCGCGGTTGACGGCGCGATTGTGCCGGCCTCAACACCAGTGGCTGCGCCAGCAGCGGCGGCGGCGACCTGTGAACCCATTTTATCAGCAACGAGCAAGAACAGGAGGGGAGGACATACGGCGACGGCTTGACCTTCTTGGCAGCGGCCTTGCCCTGGCATTTCCGTTGCCCATCTTGGCACCTTCGCCTTTCTTGCTGCCCTACAACAATGTCAGCAACGAGCATGAAACGACGGGAAGAGGCATCTTCCTTTCTTGGCGCCCTTGGCCTGGCACACGACGAAGGTCTGGCCGGCAGCAACACCAGCAGCGGAAATGGGCCTGGAGCGAGCAGCGGGTAAAGGCGTTGGACGAAATACTCGCCCGGGAGGATGTCCAGGCCATCCCGCGTGTCAACCGTGTCGACGTTGAGCGTTTCCGGGGACTGCTGGAGTCCGTTGGCCGCGAATTTTCTCGATCAACGTGGCAACGTTGTGAGTGCTGTGGACGCTTGTCGCGGGGGACTCGGCAATGGGGATAATGCAGCCCTGGCTGTTGCCTTGAGGTCTTTCGAGCCTCTAGGCCGCGTGCGCGAGCGACGTTTGAGGCGGGTGATTGTACCGCACATTGGTGGTCGCGCGTACCATCTTGGCGCTGGGAGTGGTGAGCGGGGCGGCAGCAGATGCTGGCTGGGTAGTGGGGGAGGGCGGGTAGGGAGGTTTGAAGATGGGGGGAAGAGGCAAAAGAGAGCTTCAGCCATGTCACACTGCTGTCAAGAAATTTTGTCGTACGATTGATGGGAGTCACTCGGTATTAATTTTGACCGCGGACTTTAGGGCCGTCTAGGATTGGACTTGTTCAACATTGAGGTTGGTGTGGAAAAGACAATGTAGATTGTTTGTTTGTTTATTTGATGTGCAATGCACTACTTACTGCAAAACCTACAACAGTTTAAATATGGTCATTGAGTTCCGAGTGAAATCCCATCAGTCTGTCAATGATGACATGGTCTAATAGGTAATGCCAAGGTGATGTGTCGTGCCCGCGACACGTACGTGCGTGGAATCGAACGCGCGGGGCCCCGCGGACACTTTTCGCGAGCTGAAACGCGCACCGGAGCGAACCGGCGCCGGCCGGCCCCGGACCGAGGCCGAACCACCTCCAAACGCGCCGAGGGGACGGATTCCGAGGGAGAACTGGTGCGGGTCGAGGCCCTAGGGGTCCGGTAGTGTGTGAAGGGGGTCCAGGGGGATGCTGAGACGCGTCGCAGTGGTGAAACGCGTCAGAAGTAGGCCGCGGAGGGCCGGAGGTCAGGCACGTGACCGCGGAGGTCCCCAGAGCCGCGGACGGGCTGGGGTATATAAGAGCGCTGTATTGTAGCAAGTAGGGCAGAAGAAAGCGCGCCCCCATAGGCGGTTTTGGTTCTCCTGGATTGCTGAACGCGAACGACAACGACAACGATTGGATTTTGAGTACCCGACAACGCTGAACCCGAGAACACGTGACCGCCGCTGCTTCGAACGCAGTACATAACTTCGTTGACCTATACGCTACGCTACCGACCGACTACAACGTTGACCACAAACCCTTCACCCACCTACCTTGGATTGTTGAACTGAGCATCTGGATTGCCACAGCCATATATTTTGGTTGGAACCCCCGTACTTGCGCGCACAACGTTGGAACGACTACTGGATTGGGACAAGCCTTGACCTAGGGTTAGGGTTCGACTTATTGGAGTGAAGAACTATTGGATTGGTGTTTAGAGAGAGTGTGTGTGAGTGAGTTTTTGAGTTCTGTCTAGTTCCCCTTTTTCCACCAGTCCTTCCGACTTCTGCGTTTCATCTGGAGCCCACCGCGAGGGGGTTCATTCAGATAAACAACAACACTATCCACATACGCGGGGCGTATATCATCAACAACAACGTCTACTGCATCCGAATCTCGAGCACAACGTGCTCACAATCGCGCTGTGCATCGAGCTCAAATTGAAGAAAGCTTAAACACATCTACTATCGAAGAAGAAGAAGAGGAGGAGGAAGAACAAACTGTCATTGTTGAACCAGAAACAGACCATTCCAGAGAAGAATCACCTATACCAGAGGGTGATATAACTGAAGAGTACACCAGAGACTCTTCTAGTCCAGACTATCCACCTTCCCAGGAGGAAGACTACCCACTGCTACCAGCCTTCTTTGGATTTGGACCTTCAGACTCAAGCTCAAGTTCTTCATCTTCATCTTCTGATTCAGAAGACAACAACCAACAACAACAACAACACCAGCAACAGCAGAACAACATGGCCAATGCTAATGTCCAAGGCTTCAGAGTTCCTAGAGCTTGGGAGACCAATGCACCCAAGTTCACTTCTGATGACAAGGAAGACCTCCTTGACTTCATGGAACATGTGGAGCAGATCTTTGACCTGGCTGGTATCACCAATGATGCTGAAAAGAAGAGGCTATTGACTGGCTATCTTGGAGCAAAGAAGAGAGAAGTGTGGAGGGAGCTGCCTGAGTACCAAGCTGGTACCACTTATGCTGCCTTCAGGAGGGCAGTCATGAAGGTGTATCCAGAGGCAGATGAAGATAGGGCTGGGACCCTAGATGAACTGGAGGAATTGTGTGATGAATATAGGGGCATCAAGCACACTTCAGAAGGGAAGCTCACCAGATTTGGCATGAAGTTCAGAGCCTTGGTGCAGAAGTTGTACAAGGCCCCTGCCATCATCCTGAACAAGGAGGCTTGTGCCAAGTACCTGTCTACTCTGGAGAGGGGTTTTGCCCAATCCCTGAAGCTGGCCATGAACACCAGGAACCTACTAAGGGATGATACTGCTGCACAGGCTGGAGCAATCATTGGTCCTGTGGGTTTGGACAGGAAGGAGGACCCTATCCAACTTGATGAGCTGATCAAGCTGGCTGAGAAATTCTCAAGGACTGGTGGGACTGATAGTTCCTTTGACCCAGATGCTCCTGAGGTGAAGAGATCTGACAGGTTCCCAAGGGTCAAGATTGAGGAGAGGGATGTCAGGCTTGATGAACTTGAGGGTCAAGTCTCTGGTCTGAGAGATGCTGTGGTTGTTGGGCAGAAGCAAACCCAAGCCTCTATTGATGAACTGGTCAAGACATTCCAGAACCAGAGGAATGCTCCACCACCAAGGGATGACTATGAGCAGAGGCAGTCAGCTCAGAACTCCTATGGGCAACAAGAGCGCCAATATAACCGTGGGAATTATGGTGGCAACAACTGGGGAAACCAGAGGAACAACTACAACAACAATAACAATGGTGGCAATGGAGGATGCTACTACTGTGAGGACCCAGACCACTTTGCAAGGGACTGTCATAAGAAGCATGCTCACTTGGCCAAGGGATGGATTGTGGTGGAGGATGGCAAGCAGAAGTTGGCTGATGGAGGGTTCATTCCCAGAGGACCATCATCCACCTCTAACAAGGTTGAGGAGTACTGGCAGAAGAAGAGTGCTATGGGACAGAACATGTTCATGGAAGGGGCACCCATGAATGATGATGAATTTGACCTGCTCAGAGATGAAGTCAGGACTATTCATGTCAAGCTCAGCCAACTGTCAGACAAGATGGTCAACACTCCTCAACAGACTCAACCTGCCTTTATGAATGGGAGACAAGCCAACACTTCTATGAACCAAGCCAGACTCTCTTCCACTGGAATGGGCAACAATGCTGAAGCTCTGGGCAGAGCTATAATGAATCTGCTGAATATACAAGAAGACTTTCCTGATCAATATGTTCAGACACGTGGTCGGTCTGGTACCAACCAGTCTGGGTCGGATTTTTGAATATCTCGAGGAAGGAGGCTAAATTCCGAAATAAGCCACCTGAGAGAGTCAGATTCGAAGATGAGGAAAATTCCGCAGAAAATTCAGATAAATCAGACAAGGCCCAGAAGGACTCAGAGAAGGAGAAGAAGGTGATTGATGAGGTGTTGAAAGAGTTGCCTTACAAATTTGTCAAAGTTGGGAAAGGTGGGGCCCGAACTCAGCCACCTCCCAAAAAAGGACACCTCTTCGCCAAATGAAGGCGATGCAGGCAAATTGTTCAAATTGCGGGCACCGATTCAGCGCGAAGGCCTTACGGATGAAATACTGGAACGTATCAACAACACTGAGGTTACCGTCAGACTTGGTGATCTGTTCGGACTTAGCCGAGATCTCCGGGAACAAGAGCGACTGCGGTTGACCCGCGTCCGCCAACCTATCGACACTATCCAAGATGTGCCAGCTATATCCCTGGCCCCTAAGACTGCTCAGAAAGTCCCCAAGGTTGGAACTTTCAAGTTGGATGAAGATGCCCTGGAAGTCAGTAATCTTCCAAGCGTGGCTGGAGTATTTGTGGTCAACACTGATGTGGATGGCATACCTGCTGGATCTATGGTTGCACAAGACCCTTACCTCCAATACCTGGAAAATTTGGATGGGAATGAGAAACCCAAGCAGATCTATGTGGCAAGAGACTCAGAGCCTTTGAAGGTTGCCTTCCCTCATATCAACTCCAAGGGACCCATTGAGTGTGTCCTGGACTCTGGCTCTCAAATTGTGTCTATGTCACTGGAAACTGCTCAAATCTGTGGGTTGATGTGGGACCCTACCATCAACATCTTCATGCAAAGTGCAAATGGTCAGTTGGAGAAATCAATGGGCATGGCCAAGAATGTGCCCTTCAGATGGGGTGACCTGACCCTTTTCCTCCAAGTGCATGTTATCAAGGGACCAGCCTACAAAGTGCTGTTGGGTCGACCCTTTGATGTGTTGACAAATAGCCGAACTGAGCATGACGGGGAGCATCAAATTCTCACAATCACGGACCCTAACACCGGCAATCACTGGACTCTTCCCACTGACGATCGGACCAAGCGGGACAACCGTGAGAAACCAGGTTCAACTTCTGCAAATGGCAACGACATGGATCAACACACACCTGGACCAAGTCAGGGTTTTCAGGGGTCTTCGATGATTTGGCCTGGATGGGACAAGGAGAAGAGGCCGCGGTCTTGGTAGAATTTGACGAGCAAGGGAAGGCCCATATAGAAGGATTTTACCAACCTGTAGGCGGCATTATGACAACACGCAAAATCGTTGAGTCATATCTCTTGGCATCGAAATCTGAGCTTTCCGGGAAAGATGAACTGGCAACCAACCTAT